TGTCATTTTTAGTTAAAAATATTAATAATAAAGTTAAATATATAAAAAATTATTGTGTTATGTCATTTTAAGATTTTTATACATAGATTAAAGAAAATAAATCATTACTAGAATTTCTCTTATTACATGCGACTTTTCCTGCGAATTTTTCATAAAAATTCACTGGAAACGTTGTTCCTGCAAATTTTCCTGCGAAATTTTATCTGTAGGTAATACCTTCGTGGATAAATTTTTTTTGCAAATTTTAAAATTCGCAAAAACTTTTCCTGCAAAAAAAATTCCCAGAAAAGTTTCCTGCAAAAAAAAATTTGCAGGAAATTTTCCTGCAAAAAAAAAAATCGCAGGAAAGTTTCCTGCGAATTTTTTCGCAAGAATATTTTTTACAAAAAAAATTAAAGAAATTACTATAAATTATATCAATAATTTTTTAACTTTCAAATGCTCACGATGAATTCATCCGAAGCATTTATTTTCATGCTTCCAACATGTGATACATAATCTTTTAAATTATAAGATTATAGATTATAAGTCTAACCCTCAACCATATAAATCAACTTGTAAGATAAGTGTTGCCCCAACTTATATACTCTTTAATTGCTTTATTTTCAATCAATGTGGGAGTTGAAGTTTTTTTAAAATATTAAAATTATAAATTAAATTTTTTTAAAATTTTTCAGTTGATTAAAATTTGTAGGAAAATCCGCAGGAAAAGTTACCTATATGAAATTGTATCTTAATTTTTAGAATTTTGATTTTAATTAATATCTTAATCTTTAAAATAATTATTTGAATGGAATCAGTTGTAACTATATATATAATTCAAATAAAAAAATAATAGTAGATCAATACTATAAATTAAAAAAATTACTACATTGATAATATATTAATAATTTAAAATAACATAAAGTAATCTGTAAAAAAAAGTAGAAAGTAATATTATAAAAAAATAAAAATAAAAACATATTCATACACGTACGAGGAACCAAGTAAAGTTATTAATATATATTTATATGTTTATTTTATGTTTTTCAATTAAAACTTTAGAAATTATAACAATTTTAATAATTTTTAATTAATTAGTATTTTAATAATTAAAAATAAATAGTTATTTAAAAAATTTGAAAAATTATTTAGACTTAAAAAGAGAAAAAAAAAAGCATTAGAATAAAAAACATAATGATAAAAATTAAAAGAGTTAGTAATAATTTATAAAGACTTAGTTGCACCATTAACAAATATATGATATTTAATTATGTACTAAATGATGTGTCAATTAAATATATGTGGTTGTATACTATTGGACAATAGTAGAGAAAACACCAAACATGTTATATAAAACATGTACCAAAGTAATATGTTCCTCAAATTTAAAGATGGTTAGTAAGAGGGATTTAATCCCTAAATTTGTGAGGGATTTATGAAGGAATTGTAAGATACTTAATATGTAATTTCATACTCCCCTGCTATTTTGCAAAGGATCAACAAGGAATCAAATCTCTAGCTATTTTATAAGAGATTGGTGAGAGATTTGTAAGGGAATTATTACATAACTCACTTACGAGGGAGTTTTAACAAAATACCATCCTCGTTAAATGAAAGGTTCATTTTTTGTTTAAGTAAACAATTTTGCAAGTATTTTGCGAGGTCAATATCCCCTTACTAAATAACTATTGGCTATAACGAGAAGAAAAAATTGGTCGTAAATTAGTTACTAATTAGCAAGGGTTTTGCAAGGAAAATAGTCCTTCACAAATTCATAGTAAAATAGTGAGAGAATAGCAAAGAAAGCAATCTCTCACAAAGGCTTGACGAGGGATTAATGAATTTTTTCTATATTAAATTTAGACTTGTATATAGTAGAATATTCTCTTTTAATTTATTATTTTTTCCAAATATTTTACAAGTATATTCTATTATAATAAAAAGCGAAAGAAATAACAATATAAAAAATGTTATATATAATGACTTATAGTTACATATAATTTTAGTGTTAATTTTGAAGAAAATTCAATAACATATAATTTATGCTTACATATTTTAACAATATATCAACATATATTTTATTTATAATATAGATAAAAATAGTTTTTAATGACAAGTATTATATTACTATATAATGTTTTATGACATGACTTTTTTTTTCTCCAGTGAAAGTTGTTTTTTTTTTCATTGATCATATTGAGATTAAAAATCTATGAATCCAATCTCACTATTAAAGAAAGGAAAATAAGAAAAGAGTGATATCAATAAATAAATATATATATAAAAACAATTGTAATTTAAAACCAAACTAATCTAATTAATTATAATTAAATTGATTTGAATTGGATCATCGAATTTATTATTTATAAAATAAAATTTTAAAATCAAAAGTTAAAAAATAAATTAGTATACATTAATTCTCATGCGATATGAAAAGTTGTAGCACACTTAAACAACAATCCTAAAAGTTGAAGGAAAAATAAAAATGTAAGATTAAAAAAGCCTATATATACTGTAGAGTGCAGATGAAGTGTTATAATATTAAAAATAAATAAAAAGTTTGACTGACATTAATTTTAGTTCAAACTCTAAACTTTTTAACGATAATTTTTTTTTAAAAAAATAATAATGTATAATAATGATTAGTTGAGTTACTAGAAAAGTGTCATTTTCCTGTGAATTTTTCTGCAAAAATATATTCGCAGAAATGTTTTGTGAAATTTCCTGTAAAAAAATATTCGCAGAAATTTTTTGCAAATTTATTTGCGAAAAATAATTTACAGATATTTCTTATAAATTTTGCTACAATTTTAGTGATCATAGAAATTTTTTTCCACAGTAAAAATTTACAGAAAATATTGTAAGAATTTTATTTTATTTCTTGCAGATTTTCTTACAAAAATAAATTCACAAGTAATGTTTACTAAATGGTAAAAAATTTTGTAGGTAACTTTTCTTGCGAATTTTCTTGCAAATTTTAATCCGCAAGAAAAACTAAAAAAAAAATATTTAAATTTCTAAGTTTAATATTTAAAAAAAAAAACTTCAAGTTTCACATCGATTGAAAATAAAACAATTAAAAAGTATATAAGTTGGGGCAACACTTACCTTACAAGTTGATTTGTATGGTTGAGTGTTAGGCTTATAATCTACAATCTTAGAATTTAAAAGATTATGTATCACATGTTGGAAGCATGAAAATAAAAGATTATGAATTCTTAAAATATAGAATTTATAGTAATTTTTTTAATTTTTTCGTAAAAAATATTCCTGCAGAATTTCTTGCGAAAAAATTTGCAGGAAAGTTTCCTGCGAATTTTTTTTGCAGGAAAATTTCCTGTAAATTTTTTTTGCAGGAAACTTTCCTGCGAATTTTCCTACGAATTTTTTTTTGCATTTTTCTAATAGTGAATGTATCACTTTTAAATATAATTTTATTAAAATAACTCACACAATCTATTAATAAATGCATTAAGTAATATATGAATGAACAAATTAGAAAATAAGTTAATTAATATATTTTAAAAAAAGAGTTTAAAATGTTAAAAATAACATAATTCATTAATTTTTATTAGTTTGTGTAGAATAATTTAGGACAGTACTTATTATAGAAAAATGAGTGATAAATAAATTAAAGGGTGTGTTTGACTTTATAAAACATTTTCTGTTTTTATTTTCAGAAAAAAATTTCATTTTCTAATTTTAAAATTTAGAAAAATGTTTGGCTTGACAATTTTCAAGAAAAGTTCATAAAATTTTTTGGTATAAAATTTACAATCAAAATTACTTTTTATATATGAATTAAAATAATATTTCATTCTTTCCACCTTATCTTATATTTATTCTCACTCTTCACTCATAATAGGTGAATTTCACTCAAAAAAACATGTAAATGAACCTTATATTTTTTATTTGTATCAAATGAATAATTTATTATCTAATAAGTAATAATTATATATTAAAATAAAATGTATTTTTACCTTTATATATATAACACTTATTGTTTGAAACGGAAGAAATAAGTTTAATTTTGATATAAAATAAAGGGAAATTTTTAATATATTTGTAGTCCTTAAACTTTTGTTCATTTTTATTTTTAGATCCTAAACTTTCTTTCTGCTAAAATTTTTGGTTCTTAAATTCAAGATTTTTTGTTCATAGAAAAATACTTTAAGTAGTAATATAAAAGAAATTTTATGAACTAAAAGTGAAAATTAGAAAAAATTCAAAAACTAAAAATATATTTAATTTTTAAAAAAATAGGTTGTGCACTCAAAACGTAAAATAACTTTACATTGTCATATAATAAAAACATATAATATATGTTGACTTTTATAATAAATCATTAAAAAAATAAATTAATGGTAATTTATAATTGATTGACATTGTTTTACATTATAAATATACAGTGAAAAAAGTTTAAAATTATAATACACTCTTTATTCTATTATAAGTATCATGTAGATATCAAAATAAGTGTTATTTTAATTAATAACATTGTTTTTACATTTATATACCCTTCCTTTCTAAATTTCAAATCAATTTTTGGAGAATTTTTTGTTCTTATTTATACTTTTTTTGAAAATTAAATTTAAGATAACATTAATTATTATTTTTTCAGTTATATCTTTACATCTCATATAACTTTTAATTAATTTATACATTACCATGAAAGGAAAAAAAAAACTAATATACAACGATTGTCGAGTAGAAAAAAAGGGTGTACTACCGTAGATAAATAAAAGAAATAGAGAAATTGAAAATTTGATAACTATATCTAACTAAAATTAAGAAAATTTATTTTAGTTTTTTTATTCATACTTAGAAATCAACAATAAAATTAATTTTGTAAAATTGTTGTTTTTTTTATGTTTTTTTTTATTTTTTTTTTATTTTTTAATTAATCCATCCGTTGTTTTTCAATTATCGTTTTCTTTTGTAAAATTATTGTATCATAATTTGTATGATTAATGGTTTTCTTACGAAGCGGAATTAAGTTACCTTACCTTAAACAAAACAACATAAAAATCTTTCTCATCTATTGCGACTGAAGCCATCTTTAATAAACATACATTGAGACACCAATTTTTTCGCACCCATTTATTTCCTACGTTCATCTAAAACGGATGATATCATCGTTTTCAAGATGCTTAAAATACTAGAAAACAAAAAAGGATAAAAAGAACTGATGAAAAAGGTGCAACATATGACAGATAATATTAATTAGGCTTATATCATGCAGCATTAACCGCAATTTTCATGTCAGCCTGACAATGACCAGGAAAGGTGCAGATGAAGTAGTTTCCTCCTTTGGCAAGATTGATGTGATCATGTCCTGACTGATATTTTTTTGATCCTTTTGAAGCACTGCATGAATTATATCCAGCCTCGTCCACTACCACCACGTTGTGAATCGAAGGATTATAGTTGAATTCTGCACGCATAATTAATGAACAAAAATGAGTCATGTCCTCTTAAATTTTCACAGAAGAATTACAAATTTGTTATTTGTTAGAAAGAGTATGATGATACCAACCAAGTGTGTCACCAGCCTTGAAAGTCTTTCCAGAAGTCCAGTTAGTCATCTTAAAGGTCCAACCAGCTGCATCTCCAACCACAAAGGATTTTGCATGAGCCATCTCAGAGGAAACCACCAACATATAGAATACCATCACTATTGCACTAATGCCTCTTCCCTGAGCCATCTTTTTTGTTGCTAACACCAATTCAGGATGTGGAGATATGAAAAGAGAGAGCCATGGAAGGATTTTATAGCTGAGGATGAAGATCTTAATCGTCATCATTTTAATATTTGCAGGTCCACCACTTACCTCTTCTTCTCTCTGTAGTTATTTGCGCACTCACATCCAGGATCCGTGTTTAATTGAAGTGGTCTAGGTTATTAAATGTTATATACACTTAAAGACATGTTACATATAAAAAATGTTGAGTATAAGTATATATTTATTTGATATATAACTGTACAAATAATTTTATTATTGATTTTGAATGAGATTTAATATATTTTGTGTCACTATAATTTATAATCATATTTTTTAATAATATATTAATATATATTGTATTTATTGTGTAGATAAAAATAATTTTTAGTAAAACGTATTGTATCACTATAAAGCGAATATCACTATATAACAATTTTCTTATAGTGAGAAAAATCATTAAGAAAAAATAATAATTAATATTTTTTTATAATTAAAATGGTAAATAGGGAATGATATTCTCATGACTATCAGGTAGAGAGTCAATAATATACTAAAGATCCTCAAATCAAATTCTACTGTTCACTTAGCAGTTAGTTAAAGCTTTAAGCCAACACATTATTTACCGAATTGATGGCAGTTGGCCCACTAGAGGAATTGAATTTCACCTTTGACGTCAAAAAATCTTCTTGAATAGGTATGTTCCAAAGTAAAATTTTATGATCATAAGGGATTTCAAACTCACATTATGGAAAACACAAACTCGAACTAGATCCTATACCATTTGTACTAACTTATAAACTAAAATAAAATTTTAAAAAATAATTAGTGTAATTACTTTTAGTTAATTCTATCGCACTTTCAAGTTTTATTTTAAAAAAAATGCTAACAAGTGTCTTTAAGACATCGGTTAAGAAATTATAAGTAGAAAGTTTTTATTAAAATGTGTGGACACTTTCTTTTGTGTAACTTTATTACATTGAAAACTTTTTATATATTAATTTCTTAACCAATACCCTTAAGGCACTAGTTATCAAGATCCTTATTTTAAACATGCTTCTAGTCTTAATTATAAGCATTATAAGATAAATTATGGAGAAAAAAATAGTAATTAAGAAAAATATTTTTAATTAATTTTGTCATGAATTCCAAATTTATTCCAAAAATACCCTCTATTTTAAGTGGTATATTTAATGTTGGTTATATATAAATGCATGGAAATAAAGTTAGCAATTAATTAACAGTATATAAAAAAATTTAGCCTTGAATAACTTTAAAAATCAAATGACTTTTACTTATAATTAGAACTAAAGAAAAATTTAATTTGTTATTTATAATTAGGAGCATATGTAGTATTAATGGTACGTGAATGCATGAGAAATAGAGTTAATAATAAATGAAGGATATAAAAAAAAATTAACTCTCAATAACTTTAAAAATTAATAATTGTCTCTTATGTTTAAGACATAAAAAAAAATCTAATTTATTATTTATAATTAAAATAAAAAATATTTCCTTAGAATTGTTAAATATGTTGGGCAGGTTAGTTTGAGTTTAGACCCACGTAAGCCAATGCATGTAAGCAAGTTGATTTAGTTTGAAAATTTTACAGATATTTTTTTTTTTTTCCTTTAAACTTTACTTTAAAATAAAAAATAAAATATACTAAACAAAATAAATGCCACCATTAATCCTCTCTATAATGATTGATATTTTGTATAGTGATATTTATTAAGAGAGTAGTTATTATATAACCAATAATATTATATTAGTAAATTTTCATTGTTGTAAAATTTGAGTTTTACCTTGAAAGCATATTAATTATTTTTAATATTATTCTTATTTTTTTATCAATTAAAATTACAAATTTATAATATACATTAAGATTTAAACTTAAGATCTTGTGTAAATTACTTAAATCCTTCATCGTTATGTCAATTATAATGGTTCACCACACTTGTTTATTAGTATCTTATATATAATTATTTTAATATTTTTATAAAATATTTTTTTGTCATAATTTGTATAATTATTGATTTTCTTACTAAGTGAAAGTTACTTTAAACATATAATAGAAAATAATTTTCTTTCTCATTTATAGTTCGTGAAGTCATCCTTAACAAACACACTTTGACACCTATTTTTTGCACCAACATTTAATTTTTAAGCTCATTCAAAAAATTTAAGATGAGGATGATATCCTTTTTATTTGACATGTTTTCTTTTATCAAGAACAAACATTATAATAATGATAACAAAGATAGTTGAAGTTGAAGTAGTAGTAAATTACTAAGATAAGCCTAAAAGACTTTTATCTTCTAAAATGCACTTTATATTTTACTACTAATTTAATTGTGATAATTTAACATGTTTAAAATACTAGAAAACAAAAAGGATAAAAATAAGATGAAAAGGACACATGTGCAACATGTGGCATATACAATACTTTTTGACCAAATAGAAACATTTTTCAAAATTATTTATCAAAGTCGAGCTTTATTGAAGCAAATATTCAACAAAATATATATATATATATATATATATATTAAAAATAGTATCAATTGCACCATGTGATGTTGAAGAAAATGTCGTTACAGCTAATAACAACATCAACATTATTGCATGCATTGGTTGCAGCAACACGTTTTTTGTTTTGGTTTTCTTGTTGTAGCCCACAACAATTTTTTTTAACGTTGCAATGGGCTACAATGATAAGCGTTTTTTTCGTTTTTTGTTTTTAATTGTAGATGTAATTCACACCAAGTCCTCTTTCTTTTCATTGTGGCCCACAACGACATGCTTTATTATTATTATTTTTTACTTGTTTCACTGAAGTCCATTAGAAGAAAAAAAAAGCTTTCGAAAAAAGAGTAAAATTGAAAATTTCATAACTATTTTATTAAAATTGAAAAAAAATTATTATAGTTTTTTATGCTTAATTTATTATAATTTTTTATTCATACTTGAAAATATCAATTTTGCAAAAATTTTATTTTTTATTTATTTATTACTCTCTCATTCTTTTTAATTTTCGTTTTTCTTAGTAAAATTACTTTATCATAATTTGTATGATTGATGATTTTTTATGGAGCAAAATTAAGTTACCTTAAAAAAAATTTAACATGAAGCATTTAGTTAAGTGCTACACTGGTAAGGTAAATTTTTTTATAATTTTAAAGTATTATACATGTATCAACTATAATTTAGAACTGTTAGATATATGAATTAAATATTGAACGGTTGAAATCTATTAAACATATAAAAAAATATATATCTGAGTTATAAATAAATTTACATATTTGCCCTTTTATATTAAACATATTTCTATGCTTTTTATTACTTCACTTACTTGCGTGGGAGCGTGTTCACACAATCATGAAGAAGACACATAAACGAATAGAATGCAGAAGAAGTGGAGATGATATATGATGCTCCCATAATCGATTGTGATTGGATCAGTATAAGGAAAGCTCATAGGAATACAACAATCAAACATAAGTTGAAAATCACATACAGTTCAGTTCGGGGTTTTGATTTTTGGCTTTGCCTTATCGAAATGGGATTCAATGAGCTCTTTGTGGATTCGAACTAGAATGATGTGACGTATTTAGTTTTGGTTTTTATTTTTTTACAGTAGCAAGAGAACCATGAGGTGCTCGTGCCACACACAGAATTGCCCAGGAACAATCACCATTTGATGTGTAGTGATGATATATATTTATCATGTTGTCTGCTTATGTTTTGACTGTAACTTGGTTTCTATCCAAGCAAGAAACCTTTGATATGCCCAGCAAAAAGATATACACTCAATTATTTGTAAATTTGTGAATTTTGAAATGTAACTTGTTTCTATCCTAATTAGTGAAACAACTACATGGCTACCGGACTTGATTGAGTGATTATAAATTATTGGAGAGTTACTTTGGTTGGAAGACATAATGAGAAATCCATTGGGTTTCAAGAACCTATCATACCTTTTGATCCTGACATTCCAAACTAATATTCGCCCACTAAAGAGTAAAGACCACACCCAAAACCTCAATCTAAGCAAAGCAAACGGATAACCAAAAACCAACTTTATGATTATATTTTCTCTATTTTATGCTTCCATACTAAAATTATATGGAATATGTTGGTGGAAGACCATGACAACCATATGGGCAGACAAGTACTACATTGCTATTTTCCCATTCATTGTTATAATTACAGATTGATTCACTTCATCTTGTATCATTTCTCGGATGGTTTTGTATCAGTGATTTCAATATTTCATATACATGAGGGATTTCAAACGGATGTTTCATTGTAGGCTCCAATAGAGTCATTCATATACAAGAACTTTCTTAAAGGAATTTAGAACAACCAAAACAGGCTCAGACTCAGCTTTTGTGTAGATCATATTCTAATTTGTTATATTTAAGTGTTTTTTGGTCCTTTCAATTTCTATATTAGGTAAAATAGAGTAAATTAAAATAAGATATTTTTATTCTGTTAATTCACTGCTTCACGTTAGAAGCATTCCAAAACAAAATACCGTAAAAATGTTTCTCGTCAATTGTGACTGAATCCATCTTTAATAAACGTACACATTGACACACCAATTTTTTCGCACTCATTTATTTTCTAGGTTCATCCAAAACGGATGATATCATCGTTATTTAAGATGCTTAAAATACTAGAAAAGGAAAAGGATAAAAATCTGATGAAAAAGAGAGGTGCGCTAGATATCGATATGACAGATAACTAGGCTTATATCATGCAGCATTAACCGCAATTTTCACGTCACCCAGACAATGACCAGGAAAAGTGCAGATGAAGTAGTTTGTTCCTTTGACAAGATTGATGTGATCATTTCCAGACTGAAATTTTTCTGATCCTTTTGAAGCAGTGCATGAATTATATCCAGCTTCGTCCACTTTCACCACATTGTGAGCCGAAGGATCATAGTTGAATTCTGCACGTACGCATAATGAACACAGATAAGTCATGTTTTCTTAAATTTGCACAGAAGAATTACAAATTTGTTATTTGTTAGAAGACGTAACAAAAAGATCGATGGTATAAGGGTAGTGATATATAATGTTAAGGACTCAAACTATGTCTTTCTTAAGTTTAAAATGTTTATGTGTGTGTTTGTTTAATGAAATAGAAAAAGTATGATGATACCAACCAAGTGTGTCACCAGCATTGAAAGTCTTCCCAGAAGGCCATTTACTTATCTTAAAGGTCCAACCACCTGCATCTCCAACCACGAAGGTTTTTGCATGAGCCATCTCAGAGGAAGCCACCAACATACAGAATAATATCACTATTGCACTAGTGCCTCTTCCCTGAGCCATCTTTTTGCTGCTAACACCAATTCAGAACGTGGAGATTTTTTTTAGGTTTAATTCAGAAAGAGGTGATATGAAATGAGAGAGCCAAGGAAGGATTTTATAGACGAGGAAGCTCAAATAAATGAAGTGATAGAGAGAGATAAATGTAAAATAAAAGTGATGCTGATCATATCATTGCACACTGATAGCCAGGATCTGTGTTTAATTGATGTGATCCCGGTGAGTAAATGTTGTATGGACAGACAAAAATGATATCTTAGATAACTAATAATAAAATCTTGACATTTTACTTTCTTTCCATTTTAATTTTAAAGTCTAGTTCTGTTTCAAAATTTTAGATCTTATAAGATTTTAATATATTTTTTTAATTATACTTTACTAGATTTGATATCCGTGTGATACACGATTTCTTTTGTTAAGTAACATGATTTCATATTTAATTGATTATATGAGGAGGGATTCGTAAAGATTTAATCGTTGAATTTAAAGTTTTTTAAACCATTTAAAAATTTTAATATTTGTTATTATCTTTTTTTATTTATTGACTATAATTAAATAGATTACCGTTTTTGTCAAGTAATTTATTAACGTTTATGATTTTTTTTTGCACTACATCAAAATTAGTATTTTTGACAATTAATTTATTATTTAGCGGCCATATAAATGACTATTATTTTTTATACTAACATTTAAATAATGACTGGTGTATCCAGTATCGCTAATACTATTACCGGCATTTATATAAAATACTGGTAAAGATCTACTAAATTGTTGAAAAAAAAACTTATTTTTTTTAGTGGCCATTTTAAAGGCTATTAAAAATTATTTTTTTAATTAACTCCTTTACTTTAAATAATTTAATCCTATAATTTTCTTTTCTAAATTCATAACTTATATATTTTTTTTATCTCTACTCGATGTGAAATTTGTAAGATGAGGGTTGTCTTTTATTTATATATTTTTTAATATTTTTTTAATTTTCTTGTCTCTTAAGAGATGTAAGATTTATAAGGTAAAAGTTGTTCTCTTATTATTTTATAGTACTATTGAACTTGGTAATAATGGATGATTTGATACTAATTTAGAATAGTGAATTAGGAGTCAACCCTATAAAATGAATTTGTAAGGTGATAGTTATTACTCACTTATATACTATTTAATTATCTTATCTCTAATTGATGTGGGGCTTAAGTTTTTTTTAATAAATAATTGTCGCTAATAGTAAACTTTAGTGTAATATAAATACATTTTTAGTGGTTATTATATATATTAGCTATTAATATTTTTATATATGACGATAATTAAATTATTTTCATTAAATAATTGTCGTTAATAACAAATTATGTTGTAGTGTTGTTTTGTTCGAGTTATAACATACATTTAATATGTTATTAAATTAATCAGTCAACATTCTAATTATTTGAATGATTATAATAATTTTTTCTTTTGTTTATTTTGTCTGGATTATAATGATTATAAATCAGTTTATTTTTTTTATTTAATAATAGTATATTTTATAATATTATTTATATATAAAATATTTATGAGAAATTTGCTGAAGGCAATAAATATTTACAACAATTTCATCAAAGGAGATTATTAGAGGAAATTATTGGAGGGAAGTTATTCCCTTTATATATATAAAAATATATATATTGGGAGTTATAATTACATCGGTGTAACTTTTACCACATGTTACACCACTTAATAATTTTATATTAAATGTGAATTTTGTAAATCTAATCGTTAGATTGAAAGTTCATATTACTTTATATGTGTATATCAAATTTTGTTAAAATTGAACAACAATTTGAAGGTGATCAAAGTGCTCATATTTTTATTTTGAAATGAATATATTACGTAAATTTTGTTTTATAAAAATGAAGTATCAAATCATCTTGGATTAATATAAAATTTTGTATATATGATCTAAGATATATGATTTTTCAATTTAACAGTTGAATTTACAAAATTTGCATTTAATATAAAGTTATTGAGCGATGTAACACTTAGTAAAAGTTACACAGGTGTTATTATAACCCTCTCTCTATATATATATAATAATAATAATAATAATAATTAGAGATGATTGATGATTGAGAGTTGAAGGTGAGTTGTGTTATATGTCACATGTTATATGTTGTGTGTTGGTGGTATAGTTGTATTTAATGTGTTCTAAGAGCATCTGCAATAGAGGTTGCTTATAAGCAACTCTCTGTGCCACATCACTGCCACATCACCTCTGGCCCACTTTATGGGTTGCTTAAATTTTAACAGAGTTGCTTCTGCCACATCACTGTCACATTTACAAGCAACTTTGCTAAAATTTAAGCAATCTATAAAGTGAGCCAGAGGTGATGTGGCAGTGATGTGGCACAGGGAGTTGCTTATAAGCAACCCCCATTGCAGATGCTCTAAGCATGATGTTGTTATGTTGAGAATAATTTAGGTATTTTGGCATGGTGTTGTTGAGTTGTATTGATCAACCTAAAATTTGAAGAGAGTTTATTTTTTTAAGTGTCAAATCCCATCATATGGATATTGTATTGTAGTGTTTTAAGAGTCCAAATTTTGCTAAAAAACCTTCTTGGGATGTTAACCCTTAAAGAGGACAGTTGATTCTCCTCTAGAACCTTGGTTGATACCATGTATAGGCAAGGTCAAGGCACACATATATAAAGTAATCAATTGAGTAAAGTAAAAAGTCGAGAACTTAATTCCTAGCCAAGTATCAAAAGGGCATAATATTTGGAGGGTAGTCGATGGACTAATTCTATATAAGAAGTTTAATTAAGCTAGCTAATATCGTGATAGACTCATACTCAGTTGTTCTGCCCTAATAGTAGACTCATACTCAGTTGTTCTACCCTAATAGTAGACTCATACTTCCTTATTTAAGTGACAACATATATGAGAAACTAAGTTTTTGTATATATAAAGGAGGGTTCAAACAACATCGGTGTAACTTTTATTAAGTATTACACCGCTTAATAACTTTATATTAAATGTGAATTTTATAAATCTAACTGTTAGATTGAAAGTTCATATTACTTTATATGTGTATATCAAATTTTATTAAATTTGAACAACTTGAAGGTAATCAAAGTGTTCATATTTTAGTGTATTTTGAAATGAATATATTACGTCAATTTTATTTTATAAAAATAAAATATCAAATCATCTTGGATTAATATAAAATTTTATATATATGAACTTTCAATCTAACTATATGAGGGGGGTTATAATAACATCGGTGTAACTTTTACTAAGTATTACACCGCTCAATAACTTTATATTAAATGTGAATTTTGTAAATTCAACCGTTAGATTGAAATTTTATATCATTTTATATGTGTATATCAAATTTTATTAAAATTTAACAACAACTTGAAGGTAATCAAAGTGATCATATTTTAGTATATTTTGAAATGAATATATTACGTCAATTTTTTTTAAGAATGAAGTATCAAATCATCTTGGATTAATATAATTTTTTTTATATATGATCTAAGAGTACAGAACTTTCAATCTAATGGTTGGATTTTCAAAATTCACATTTAATATAAAGTTATCGAGTAGTGTAGTACTTATAGTAAAAGTTACACCGATATTATTATAATCCTTATATATATATAT